TTACAGTTCGTTTTAGTTTTTATCTTCATGTTTACAATTGCGAAGTGCGCTTTGAAAACATTGATGTCATTTTGAATACAGCCTTGACTCATAACGAAAGCTATAGGTGACCTATTATTTAAAAGTGGAATTTAGGTTAAATCTCCAAAGCTTGTAAAAAACAAAAAACATAGCATACGCTAATGCTTTTCATTTATAGTAGGTTATTAATTATCTGTACTGTATATGACATGGGCCTGTTGGTTAGAACATTTTTGCAGTGGTTAACATGTGTAAAATTGTAAAAGTAGACTTTTCAAAAAAATAAAAATAAAAATAAACAATATCCTACTTAATAATAATAATAATAATAATCATCTTCATCATCATCATTATCATTAATATTATTAATATTAATCAGGTAGGATTTTTTTTTCATTTCTTGATAAATAATAAATATTAAATTTAATTTCTTATTAAATTGTCTCATCATTTATTTATTTATTTATTTATTTATTTATATGATTTATATATGATATTAGAATATGTGTTAGCTTTTGTAATTGATTTTATTTTTTTAGAATTGACTATAGAATATTCTCAATATTATTCGTAAAGGAAACATAGGCTCAATATGTGCCGTTTACATATATTTCAAACAATATGTAAAATGAGTGCATGTTTTACTAAAACTAATAATGGATAATTTTTAAATGTGTGTACATGTAAAACGATATATTAGCACAAAGAAATTGTGGGGTTCTTCTCTAAAGAAGTAGTTACTCCACTCCGTTTAGAGCATCATATCGTTATAGTTATATTTTACGTTATAACTAACATGGTTCAAATGATGGATCTGCAACCGAGAAACACTCCTCACTACATTGTTCTTTTCCCAAACGATGCAGACGGTATACAATGACAGTTCAGCCATGAGTCATGTGGTTGTTTGGGAAATGCAGCCCAGTTCAAATGTTTTTTTTTTTTTCCTTAAAAGAAGGTATATTTAAGACTTCCATAGGAAAAACAAGTGGTTACAACATTCTTCAAAATGTATATTTTTGTGAAGATAAAAACAACCTCAAACCTAAAAAAAAGAGAAATAAAAACAACAACAACAACAACAACCTCAAACTGGGTTGGAACAAGTGAAAGAATAAATAAATGATGACCGGATTTTCATTTTTGTGTTAATATCCTTCTAAAATCTGGTCAAATCTACCACCGCAGACCAATAAATGAAGTCAAAGACCAAACACCAGGTTGAAATTTCTTCCACACACTTTTTTTTTATTTGGAAATAATAAAAATGAACTTTTTTCTCCATTTTTTTAAATATAAAACATACACATCGTATGAGCCACACCTGTATACAAACAGAAATGTTGCAGTGAATACTTTTTCTTTTTCATCATCTCAGTGGAACACATACTAGAAGTTGTAAACAGTCAGCTTTGTTTTTCCCCTCTACTTGAGAATACTGATCAAGTAAAAAAAAAAAAAAAAAGGTCTCTCATGAAGAAAAACAATCCTTTTTTTTCAGATTTTGTGTTCATAGCAGAGGTGAAGAGGTTTGGCTCGAAAAAAAAAAAAAAAGCACAGAGAAAATGAGGATCTGGCTACAGCTTTAGAGCGGAGTGATCGAGCCCTCTAAAAGTGACAGTGAGAGCTCTAGATTTGGACCCATATGATAAGAAAGGTGTCCGCTCAGCGGTCCCTAGTTTTCGGGATGGTTGTTCTCAAAAGTAAGCCTTGGCCCCTTTGCAAATATGGCTTAACCACATGGTTATCTCATATTTACAACACATGCGCTAGTAAGTCTCATCTGCATCTACATTATATTCGACATGGATACTGTTATGTATGTATGTATGATATAGTATCTGTTGTGAATAACTTTATGGGATGTATACACATTTTATATGTTAATTTCTGTGGTTTTGAGGTAAATTATGATACAGTAAAATCTGTAAAAGAGGAGGGAGGTTAGTTTTTGTTCAGTGTTACAGTACAGCACATTTGCCCCCAAAGAGATATAAAAAAACAATAACAATCTAAAGAAAAGAAAATGTATATATGGAAAGTAAAAATGTTGCAACATTCAGCACCGAATGGAGGACATGGACTATTTCCTTTTTGTTTTTTTTAGCTGATCTGAAAAGTGAAAGCAAATGGCTTCTTTTCTTGATTTATCTCTTATATTCAAGTACAAGCAAACTGTACAGGTACATGCAACATACAAGCTGGCCTACAGTATGTTGAACTAACACATATCTATTTCTGTTACTTTTTAACATCTGTGTAGTCTGTTTTACAAAAAAAATGTGCATGCAGCTGGGAACTGATCCGAGTCATGCTGCTCCGTCGCACTGGAGGAAAGTGGCCTGATAGATGATCGGTGGTCATGTTTGCGATGGCTAAATCTGATTGGTCACTTCAACATTTACAGAGACACACAAGAGGAATTTGCATGACTCTTTTTTTTGTTTTCTGTTAAGTACACAAAGTGGAAATTAAATTATGCTTGTTGGCTTGATTTTTTAAAAATATATATAGATTAATTTTTGTATTTTAAAATCAAGCTTTTGTGCTTGCGTTCTTTATTCAAAATAAAGACTCATGTGCAAGGGCTTGTCGCAGAGTTGGTGGCTTCTTCTAAGCCACATTAAAATAGGAAATGTACATCTACTAAAAACACCATCAATGAAGTCAAAAAGTTACACTACTGTATTCTGTATTTTGTTTCATGAATTTTCTTCATTTATTTATGCTTTTAAATTACATTATGCAATCTTGATCTTTTCGAAGTTTCAAAACAAGTCACTTTTATTTAAACGTTTAAATAGTTTGAAGTAGGCATGGGTCAGTATTAGATTCTAACGGTATGATAACCTTGGATAAAAATATCACGTTTTGACGGTATTATGATTACTGCTCTAAAATATATATTTTTTAAATGTCTTGGTAAAACATGAAAACTTTTTCCCCTTTGAACACAACATATTTTATTTTGAGAAACGTTTAAAATATTTTTCATTAGTAAACTAAATAATTTAAATCAATCGTTGACTTCTGCTCTGCTGTCTTCATTAGTTTCAAAAACAATGATCTTTGGATATATTTTCTGCTGGAGATACTGTTGTCCTAAAAAAACTTTAAAACAAAACATAAAAAAAACTTACATATACCTTAGGGACGGTATAGCAGAACATTTTGGCAGTTTTAAAATCTGACTTTTCCAAACTGCCAAACTGAAAACAGTTATTGCCTCATGCATGCCTAGTTTAAAGTGATACATTGTCTGGGTTAGTGTTGTCAAACAAAATATCTGGTAATGAACTGTCAGTACTTTATCTGTTATTTTACATACTTAATTATATACAGTTGAAGTTAGAATTATTAGCCCTCATTTATTTTTTCCTCAATTTCTGTTTACGAAGAAGATATTTTCAACACATTTCTAAACATAATAGTTTTAATAACTCATTTCTAATAACTGGTTTATTTTATCTTTGCCATGATGACAGTAAATAATATTTGACTAGATATTTTTCAGGACACTTCTATACAGCTTAAAGTGACATTTGAAGGCTTAACTAGGTGTAATTAAGTTAATTTGGTAGGATTGAGTAATTAGGCAATTTATTGTATAACAATGGTTTGTTCTGTAGACTATCGAAAAAAATATAGCTTAAAGGGGCTAATAATTTTGACATTAAAGTGGTTATTAAAAAAAATTTAAACTGCTTTTATTCTAGCCAAAATAAAACAAATAAGACTTTCTCCAGAAGAAAAAATATTGTCAGACATACTGTGAAAATTTCCTTTATCTGTTAAACATCATTTAAGAAGTATTAAAAAAAGAAAAAAAAATCAAAGGGGGTTTATTTATTCTGATTTCAACTGTATGAAGAGTTCAGATGCAAAAACCTCTAAATGCCATCTAAAATGCCTTTTGAAAGCAAGCATTTGTCCTCAACCTCATATGTTTATGTTCAGTTTATTCACTTTTCAATGCAATGGAAATACCTTATTCATCAACATTAATGTAAAATTACTGAACCTACATTTAAAGGTTTTTGCATCTGAACTCTTCAGATATTATTTCTTATAAAATATATTGCGTCAAGCCACATTGTTAAAAAGCAGTGTCGACTGTTTTCAACATCAAAAGCCGCCAAATCTGAGTTTAAGGTCCCATAATGTAATTCATAGCACTGAATAAACAAAAAACACACGTGAATAACTAAATTTATTCATTTGTTTTCTTTTCGGCTTAGTTCCTTAATTAATCGAAGGTCGCCACAGGGGAATGAACCGCCAACTTATCCAGCAAATGTTTTACGCAGTGGATGCCCTTTCAGCTGCAACCCAGCACTGGGAAACACCCATACACTCTCATTCACACACCTACATTATGGACAATTTAGCTTACCCAATTCACCTATACCACATGTGCTTGGACTTGTGGGGGAAACTGGAGCACCCGGAGGAAACCCACGCGAACACGGGTAAAACATACAAACTCCACACTGAAATGCCAACTGACCCAGCCGAGGCTTAAACCTACATGCTGTGAGGCGATCATGCTACCCATTGCACCACCGTGCTGCCCTGAACAACTAAATACAGAACAGATTTTTTTGACAGTGAAGTTTAGCATCTGAAAAACTCTATTATGTCTCAAGATTTATGAAAACAGATTATCTTTACTCAAATCTGGAAAACGTTCAAGTACACAATCTTGTTACATATAGTGTTTCGTTAACTAAATATATACTTTTTAATAGCATTTAATGATAATTGTAAACATCTAACAATGGATCGTATTGAATAAGATGATGTATTGCAACGTACTGTAGGATAATGTAATAGTTTAAGTTGCTAAATGTGCAAAGAAACATGTGTTTTTCCAGATACGCATTTTCCAGTTTAGCATTTCCTCTTTTTTTCACAGTACACTGGACAACACAAACCTTTTGTTTTCAATAAAACGTGCTAGACAAGTTTATTTTATTTAAAAAAAAAAGGAAATAAATAAACAGAATTAAAAATAAATTTGGCCTCCGTTAGCAGTCACATTGAAAACAGAGGAACTACATAATCTTTTTATTTGTTTGTTTGTTTGTTTGTTTTAAACTAAACAGACCATGGCTTTGGGTCCTCCAGGTTTAGGCACCAACAAGGGCCCTGCCCTTCCGGACAACCTCCCCAGGGGACACCCTACATCTTTACAGCGCCTGACCTTTGACGTTCGGTACAAACAGGGTTTAAACAGGGCCTCAACTGAAACCCCACAATCCCTTGGTCAGAGGTCACCTTTGTTTTTGGGTTAATACATTCTGATGCTCTGTTAAAAACTAGCTAACGTACATTATTTCTTTAATGAAGACTTGACTGAAGACCACCCTGCTTTCTAATGTCGCCCACAAAAGCGGTGCTTCCCATGTGCTAGTGAAGACAGCCCTAAATCTCAGTGAGAGAAACAAATGGTTTTGTCGAGGACAAACAAATTTGGCAGAACACGGGCTACCCACATAGAGGAGACATAAAAACAAAGTCACAGGAGTGATTGTCAGATTTGAACAAAGCTTTGTGTTATTTCATCGCATTTTCTGCCTGGCTCTTATTGTTGTCCCGTTGTCTCTCGGCGTGTATTGAATGTGCTTTATTTTTGTTAGTCCACTATGATCGGACCCCGGTGGGTGCCGGTGAATTGTCCTTGTCCAGGGATGACTGAGAAGCACGTCGAGTTAGAGAGGCAAGAGTCGGGTCGACTAGGGAAGAAGGCGGGAAAAGTTTATACCAGCCAATAACATTGCTGGAGAGGTCCAGCTCTTCTAGTAGGATTTGTGCAACTCCCATGAAGGATTTGTGGTCCATGCGTCCATAATCTCCCCAGACTATTACCTAATAGGATGAAAATCAACACATTTGTTTATTGATTCATTAGTGGATGCTCACCTTGGGTCACATAATGAAAGATAATAATATCTGATCTCGCCAGTGTGATCTACAGTGCAGGGCAGGTGAAAAATAATGACTCACATGAAAAAATACAACAGTTTAGTAAAGTTATCTTTAGTATCTTTAATACTGTAGTGTTTTTGAACCATACTGTAGTACAGACATGGGAAGTAATGTAGTACAAATAATTTGTTACTGTACTTAAGTAGATTTTTCTGGTATCAGTACTTTACTCAAGCGGTTCCGAACAGGGGGGTCCTGGCCCACAAGGGGGCCTTAGCGAGCTCTGTGGGGGTCGCGTCATATTTTAAACAAATTTTAGCAGTCAACAATTAAGATGAAAATTTTGGCTGACCAAAAAATGAACAAATTTGTAATTCATCCTCCACAAAAAAGAGTCTCACTGATTAACCTTTGGAAGCTTTACAGGACCCAGATTATAAAACTCGCAATACTGGAAACACGAAATGCAGGAAATACCAAGATAGTTAGCTGAACTGTGGTTTTATTCCATTTTCTTGAAGCAAAGAGTCCCTGACCCAGCCACAGTGCATTTTCTGTGCTAAGTTCTTGCTAACAAATGCATGAGGCCATCCAAATTAATCTGACATTTGCAGACGACTCATTCCCAATACCCCAGTACCCAGTACCCAATACAAATGGCCTACTGATGCTTTGCTTTTAAATTTTACATTAGGCTATTATTTGTGCATAAACAAATTTGTTTTTGTTTGAAAACAACATTTTTTGTCATAACTACTGCAAACTTTTATGAGGGATAATATCATTAAATAGGACAAATAGGATAGAATAGGAGAAAATTCTACTCCTTACATTTGTAAACAAGGCTCATTACTTTAATTCTCATGTGTTTGGTTTCGCAATCTATATTATTTTTTGTCATTGAGCAAATTGAATGAACATGCGAGTTTTTCAACCCATGTTGATCATGCACGTGAGCAGGGTAGTTTTTGAAGTTTACCTCAAGAAAGGGAAGGATAACTTTGGTGGATGAGACACAAGGAGTCGGTGATGTAAACATGACTAAAGCTACCCTGCTTACACAGGGTAATAAGCTGTTATCACAGGTAAATTCCACCTCCGACCACAGTTTACAATACAGGTTTTTCTGATCTATCAATACAATAGCGCAAAATAAATGTTCATGTTAATTGTTGCTTTTTTGTCAACATTTGTACAGTTAATACTAAATCTGTTAAATGAATGCTGTATGCATTGAGATTTATTTCCTTTATTTTCAATGAGTTCCTATTTCCTAATACAGAATTTATACTGTTTTACTGTTCATTAAACCTAAAAAGTGAAGTGCTATTTTGGGCTTTCCGTCTGGATTTAAAAGCTTCCAAAATCCACATGCAGAGGTGTAAATGCAAACGTTTTAAAAAACTCACTTTTAATTTTCTATAAAACACTGTTAAAAGAGATTAAAATAATTATATATGTTGTCTGTATTATAATAAACCCCTTCAAAGAGGCAATTTTTTTTTTTTTTGTAAACTCAAATTTAAAACTGTGTGGTCTTGGTTGCTGTAATTAATTTTGATGGTTCCTGAACATGTCAGTAATCATAGAAAAAATAAAAATGTCTCTATCATAATCTATGCAAAAGTTATTCTATTCCAACTGATGAGAGAACGGAACCACTTATGAGGGTATTGGGCTAGTACGGACATTAAAAATTTAAAGAATGCGAAAGAATGACGTCACAGAGTCGGGTCCCAGAGTTTAATTAAATTAGACCATTGTCTTCATTTAAATTAGCTTAACAAATATTTTAACATCAAAATTAGTCAGCTGACAGTCTGATGCACCTCTATATATCAGTTTTGAGGATTGCTTAGGAGGGACAACAGCACCTGTAATAAAAAGGAAAGGGAATCCTACTGTTTTTATATTTACTTCAAAGTGTTTTTGTGCCTAAATAAAACGAAAGGACAGAACAGACTCACATTTAAGAGCAAGGGGTGGCCCCTGGTGGTTCATCGGTATGGGTTGTGTATAGGGAGGATCGGCTCTTTAATGCTTATTGCCACCCTTCAGAGAAAGATTGAAAATTCGGGAGAAATATGGAAGAAAACCTTTACGGGATGATAGTGGGATAAAACTGTAAAATACGAGAGAATCTCAGGAAAAATGGGAGGGTATGGTTCACATCCATGTTAATATGCCTGTCTGTCTCATCACTGATTTTAACTTGGTGCTTTCTTGTTATTGATTAATAAGTAAGTTAGTGTATCCTCCTTTCAGACGTTTTCATTTCTGTCAGCATTTAATTAAAAAATAATTAATCTATTACAATGTGTTGTGTCTAATTTTTACAACCTAAGCTCATTCTGAAAACGTAGTCCCGCGGACGTTTCAGGAGACAGCGGAATATGTCCCGGGAGGTACGTACGGCCGCGTTTATTTTTTTTCAAGCGAACGCTGCGGGGCGGTGTGACGCTGTTCCCTTTCGCGCTTGCCTTACCTCCTTGTGGAGGGCTTCCCCGCTGCAACCAGTTTGTCCACTCAGCTCAGCGGGTACGTCGGCAGGCTCGAGATGCGGAGAGGGGTCGACCACGGCGACCGGTTTCGAGTCCGGGGATAAGCAGTTACAGCAATCGGGTAAGACGAAAACAGAATCCCAAAAATGAAGTGAACGAGTTTCGTGACAGGGTGAGAACGCGGCGAAATCCGAAAACGCAGTGGAATAAAAAAAAAAAATCAGGGCTTTTTTTTTTGGACGGCTTTTGTGAACTGTTGCTCGGGTTTAGGAAAGCGAGCGGACGGGCGGGTCGATCGGTAAAATCGGTTGGGTTCAGGGAAGGAGGAGTCAATCATCCGGTCAGTTGGACAGCGGCCTCTGGTGGGTTCACGCAAGAACAGCACGGGCGCGGAGAGGTGTCTGAGGTGCGAAAAAGCGCGCAACAGCAGCCTCTCGCAGATTCGCGAAAACAAAAACTGCAGCCGTACGTACCCGCTGGGACATATTCCGTGGTCTCCAGAAACGTCCGCAGGACTACGTTTCCACAATGAGCCTGGGTTGAATTTTTAGGTTTAGGTAAGTAAGTAGTGCTTATGTAATAAGTGGCATATTCTGTAGTACACCCAGTGAGAAATTTACACAGAATAAAGCATATCAAACTTTGGGCCCATCTGCTGATGTCTGTCGAGCTTTATTCTTCAATAAAAAAAACACCTGAGTGTACTTTATCCTTTATTTAAAGAGTTGTTAATATAATAATACATTCAGTATAATATATTTTATCGACGTATGGTTCAAAAACACTATGGTATTACCTATACATTACTACTTTGTCATGTGGGTAGGCATTAAAAAATTTATAATTAAGTCCATTTTTGTAATACTCCCTTTTATCGCCAATGCACATAATACTGATTACCATTTACTATTGTCTATTTAGAGGATGTTTTTTTCATGACTTGTTCTATAGCCACTACATTTTGCCTACTAACTTTTCACTCACCTTGGATTTAAACGTAGTTTTCTTTTTCAAACAGTTCCTGAGGGATTCAATGACGTTTTCTCACACCGTATTGAATCTCTACAGCTGTAGAACTAAACTAGAAGTGTAAAAAAAAGGCGGATAAACTCAATGACTCACTTGTAACACTTTTCCCTGTGGACTTTCTTCAAACTGTAGCGTCTGCTGGTACAGCGGGTCGAGTGTCTTGCGTGCAATTTTTGTCTTCTTCTTAGCTACATATGCCCCGTTGTGGAGAAGATAGACTTTGACGTATGGAGCTGTGAATCAAATTAGGCAGTTATGAATACAGTGATATTACTTAACATAACTGACTAGCTCTGTTTTCTTGATGAGTTATGTTGTGACTAAGTAATATGATACATATGAAGTTTGAATCACAAGCGGTGAGTTCAGAATAGAGCAGAAGTGACTCACCGGGCAGGGATTTGGATCCTGGTTTTTGGATTAGACCTCGTGCTCTTATCACCTCCACCTCCAGCTGGCCTTTCTTATTTACCATGCCAATCTGAATGTCACCTGGCGACCACAGAATAAACAAATATAGTTTGTACATTTTAATTAAAATTAATTTGCTAAATGGATTTGTTTAAATCATTCATGCTGAAAAAAAGTATTCTGACATGCTGTTGTTTCCCCAGTTATCCTTAAATTTTGTGCTGAATATCAAAGTAATTTAGGTTTGTAAGTTTGATATATTTTGTAAAATATAGACAAGAATATGCATTTAGGGTGTGTCTGAATTCACTTTTGCTATTTTAGGGATGGGAAAAATGGTCGGTGTGCCCAGCACATGGACTAAAAGGGTTGTTTACATTCAGTTACAGGTATGTTTTGGGCATTAAACCAATCAGAGGCTCATCTCCCCTTTGCTTTAGGAGTGAGTTGTGGTCATGCCATATTCATATTTTGTGCTTCAGAGCTTTTGATAAGGGAACATAGTCAGAATAAAGAAATAATATAATAACATATACAAAAATACAATACTTATTTTTTTAAATACTAATTTATTACATCAAATATTATTAGAAAAAAAATCAGAATCTGTTCATTTTAAATTAAAAAAAAGTTTAGCCTATTATCATTATTAGGCAAATAGCAAACTGGCCAGCATAATTTTCTCAGTCATAATTTGGCACGGCATAACTTCAGAATGGGAAGTCACGCAAAGCCAAATTTGGAGTCTCAAAATCTGTACTGACAGCCAACACAGGATTCTGCTTGGTCTTGAAGCCTTTTTCGATGAGTTATTTTCACAATTCATTATGGCATAGCAGTCAAAATAGCACAAATGAGCTCATGTATGGGACCAATTCTGGACCTATGTCACTGGCTAGCCCCTGTTAGTGATTCCCTGATTTTCCTTCTGCATTGAGGGATGAAAAGAAAATGAATAAGAATGAATATGAAAATGTAGAAACTAAAAAATAATTTGTTAATTTAAAAAATTTCTCATAACTTAAGAAATTAATTATAACATTGTTTTTTTTTGTAGCTTATAGAAGAATAAAAGTAAGTGTTTACATTGGTCACACTTTGTTTTGATGGTCTGTTTGTTGAATTTAAGTTATATTGCATCTACATGCATAAGTTGATACAGTATGTACTTGCAAATGAGCATATCAACAGATATTAAGCAGACTTCATAAAAATAAAGTGTTACCCATTATCTTACATAAAAAAATTCTGCCAAACTTAAATAATTAGGAATTACTCCAGAAGAAAAATATAGTAGGTAATCACTGGGAATCTTTTGGACCTTTAATTTGGGAAATACAAAATGAAAATAAATAAATTAAATTATTCCTAGCTAATTTGTCTTCAACCATATACTGATATTATGTGATTAAGTAAAATTTGTAAATGATTACAGCAAAAGAGATATGGACTTGAATGCTAAAAAAGCTTTAAAAGTTTCACAAGTAAGACAATCTTACCAATAGCTGGTGTGGCAAGGGTTTGTCGACCAACCAATTGAGCAGGGCCCAGGCCATCCAAAAAGTCACTGAACTGAGTCTCAACTCGAACTGCTGGGAAGATTGGACTAGCACACAAAAAAATGGACATAAAATACTGTAATCATTGCTCTTTTTGTCTTATAGCAGATTAAAATGTAATGGGATCTGAGGGTCACAGATATAAAATCCACTGTTTAATTGGCTTTGCCACAATGATCATCAGTGTTGGAGGTAACACATTACAAGTAACACGAGTTAAGTAATAATATTACTTTTCTAAGTAAAGTGTAAAGTGTTACAATACTTTCAAAATTAAGTAATAATATTTGAGTGACTTTTTAAAAATTGTAATACAAGTTACTTTTAAGCTTAGATAATTTGCTTTAAAAAGTTTATTGCTGAATTAAAATGATTGTAATCACGTTGAATCCCACATGCAATGAGAGAATGCAAGAACAGACAGAAAGGAAGATGGCAGAGCCTTACGATTCTGTGATAGAAAACTCTCATTATTTTGAACACAAGAAAAGGAAAAGAGGATTATCTGAAGGGACAGTGATTTGACTTTTTAATAAGACACAAATTACAAAAGTAGCAAAAGCATTGCTTTACACTTTTATTAATCAGTACATACGGTATGTATAGCTCTGTGGTAAGGAACTTATAGCCTCAGCCAGGTAATAAAAAGTAACGCAAAAGTAAAAAACCTATTACTTACTATATAAAGTATTGTAATGCATTACTTTCAAAAGTAACTTTCCTCAACACTGATGATCAATGTACCCAAAGAATATGCAGACATGTTATTCCCAAAAACTAGTGGTGGACAGAGACTAAATTAACTTACTGCATTTACTTCAGTATGGTAAGAAACTTTTAAATATCACTACATCAAAACAAAATGTTGTACACTTTACTCCAATGCATTTCCTGAATAAAGCAAAAGGTTATGGTAATTCTTGAACAGTGTCGCCAGATATAGCTGACTTTTTTCAGTCCAAAAGCATTCCAAATCACACCTAAACGCATTTAAAAAAAAAAAAAAAATATATATATATATATATATATATAGACTGATATTTTTTTTAATTTTAATTAATCAGAAATTAGAGCTTAGTTGCTTTAATTGTCATATTTTACCCATACAGCAACCAACACCAGCAGTCACAGAACCATAATAGTACAATTACAACTTAATTGGATCACAACACTGCACTTGTTGTTCTGTGAATTATACTACCTATTCGCCTATATATTGTACATTTATTTGTTTAAAGATGATATTTAAATAGTTTATAAATTTGCTTTAAATATCCTGTGAAGTTAAAATAAAGTGTTCTAGATGTAAGTTTCAGTCTGTTAGTTAAGGATATCAATTAGCTAATGTGCTAAACTGTCTGGTGAGTCTAAAAAATAATTTATTTGGCAACTCAAGAAATGATGACTTGTTTGATTAAACAGCAGGAGTTCCAGCTTCCACAGCAGCTCCTTGTATTCCTAGTATGGATTCAGGTAGATAATGGCGTAAATAAATTCGTCCCATTTGGTTTTTTACATTCATTTAAACAAATTGAGGTGCTGCTTATTAATCAGGCAACAGTTCTATGTTCATTGTTCTTGTTAATTGCGGAAAAAAAATTATAGATAAACGTGTTATAATAAACTGCTTTTGTCACGCCTAGTTCTCTCTCACAAAGGATCGCAGGAGTTATCAAACATGTAGATTTATTTACAAACACTCACTTGAAGGACACAGGAAATGTAGGAACGACATGGGGTGTAGACAATGCATAACGTAGAATACTGGACAAGGGACTAAACCAAACTAAAGGGTATACTGTAAATACACAGGGACTAATGGAACTGATAACACACAAGATAGGGACACAGGTGAACCTAATGAACATCAGAAAACGGCGGGAAATAGAACAAAGAAGCACATGATCACAACACAGAACCTGACAGCTATGATATTCACTGCAGGCGGTGCGTGAAGCAAATTTTGTAAACCCGTCTAAGCATTTTTTTACCTTCACAATCAAAACTAAAAACTGCTTAATCTGGTAACACTGTTCATGAAGTTTACAGTAATTCGAGAAGGCGAGGATAGGTAGTTTAAAAAAGAAAAGACAAATTTATCAGTCAACCTGTTAAATAAGTTCATAAATTACACAAGTTGAACAATTAATTTGTGAACTGGACTGAGATCTGTCAACAACTCCAATTCAATTCAAAATCAAATTCAATTCTAATTATCCATTCAGAGTGAATACCCACACTCTCAGAAAAAAGGTACTTGTTGGTACAAACAATGTTCATTAAGGAACAGTTAATTATTAATTATTACATTAATTATTAAGTTCTATAATACAAAACAACTGGTACAGCAAAACTAAAGGTATTGTAAACTAAACATTTAGAGCAGTGGTTCCTGGGGTCCAAACATTTAGAGCAACCTGGGGTCCGCGCCCCCCTAAGGGGGGCGCCAGAGTTCACAGGGGGGGCGCGGGAGAGGATAAAAGGTAGAAAAAGGCATAAAAATGCTCCACTATTATAAAGGGCTTTGCAATTAATCGAATATCCGATTTAGATTTCGGTTTCAAACGATTATAAAAAAGCATTAATCGAGATAAATGATTATTGCATCATATTTTGCCACGTTCCAGTTGTACACGCTCTTAAATGGCTCTTAAAAGCGCGAAAGAGCTTATGTGTGTGTGCAGCACGATCACGCAGTCAGAAGCATGCGGCCGGTCAGCATTCACTCTCATTCACACACTGAGACGAGCAGAGGAGCGCAGACATCTAAAGTCATCTTAACGTGAGCGCTTTAATGGTAAAATAGGTGTCAAAACGCGGTGTTTAGTGATTATGTACATTAACCCTCATTTGTGTAATAAACAAACGAGTTGAGGATCAAAAGACGTGAAAGAGAAACTATTAAAGAGACAGTGCGCTATAATCCTTCTGCCGGCTGTTTTTATCATTATTAAACAAACACAACGAGAAAACCCTCGCTGCTCTTGACTGAAGGACTGCTGCAGCTAAAGTGTTTTTCTTACAGTGAAGATGCTTAAAACACAGTTTGTTTTATATTTTTATTCTATTGTATTTATTTCTCTTTCCTTTGCAGGGTGTAAAATAAGTTGAAGTCAGAATTATTAGCCCTCTTGAATATTAGCAAACCTTTTCCTGTCCAATTTCTGTTTCATGGAAAGAATATTTTATTAACTTATTTCTGAACATAATAGTTTCGATATCTCATTTCTAATTACTGATTTCTTTTTGTCTTTGCTATAATGACAGCACACATAATATTTTACTAGATATTTTTCAAAATACAAGCATTCAGATTAAAGTGCAGTTCAAAGGCTTAATTAGAGTAATAAGGCAAGTCATTATAACGGTAGTTTATTCTGCAGACAATCAAAAATATATATTGCTTAAGGGGGCTAATAATATTGACCTTAAATTGGTTTCAAAATATTTAAACCTTTCTTTATTCTAGCTAAAATAAAACAAATAGAAGAAAAAATATTATAGGAAATACTGTTAAAATTCCTTGCTCTGTTAAACATAATTTGGGAAATATTTATTTAAAAAAAAATCTCAGGAACGCTAATAATTTTGACTTTAACTGGCAATGGTTTTGAATAATCGTGATTACAATTATGACCAAAATAATCGTGATTATGATTTTTCCCAAAATCGAGCAGCCCTACTATTATATATGTATTTTTAAGTACCAAAAAATAAATAAAGATCTAAACGCATGCTTAAAATTCCAACATAATAGTGAAAATAATTAAAATAAATAACTTTAAATAATTATTTAAATTTTGCTCACTCGCGCAATCTGCTTGTCAACGTGTCGTAAAGGCAAAATCAAAACAAAAATGGCAGACAAATGTAAATGCAGGGATTCTTCAGAGGCGAAGAAAAAGATTAGACAGTATGACAAAGCCTACCTAAATTTTGGTTTTATTGAAGGCCAAGACAAGTTAAAACTGATTAATTAATATTTTCTATACATATTACTATATATTAATATTACACAAACACACACACACACACACACACACACACATATATATATATATATATATATATATATATATATATATATATATATATACACACACACAGTACATATGTATGTGCGTGCGTGTGTATTTATATGGTGGGGGGGCTCCAATGTTTGTATATGTTCATGGGGGGGGGCTCCAAAGAAAAAGGTTGGGAACCACTGATTTAGAGCATTTTTAATAAACATTTGGTAAACATTTTTTTTGATAAATACATTTTTATTATTGATATCCACATCTTTTGGCACTTGCTTTCCACTCTGCATGTGAGTTGGCAAAAGTCCTGCATTTGCAAAGTGTTCATGCAGACATTTTAGTATTGTAAAACTATTCAATCATTGTACATATCTCGTTACAATACTTTAGCATAATTCTATTTCTATTTTAAAATTAAGTAAATTAAATGAACTTTTAAATGTTTACAAAGCTATTGTGTGAAAATTGGAGAAAAAAAGTTTAATATTGTACATGGGAGAATGCATTTCTGTAACATTTTTGTGAAAAGTTTTGTGAAATCTTTAGCAAAAAATAGATCTTTTGATTTATGTTAATGTTATTTCATTTTTTTGTATTTACTGAAAATAAATTGACGAATTTTGGATAAAGCAAAAAAGCCGTTAATTAGTTCTTGAAGGAACACATTTAACACTGTTAAGGTACAAAGTGTCTTGTCACTGTTGTGCTACATTCATGGATCAGACCTTAATTGAAGGAACATTATTGTTTCTGCAGGTTTTAAAAACCAAAGATACATTTTGGTTTCCCATGTTACAAATCATGTCCTTAAAGGTACAAATTGCAATGGCACAAATTTGTTTCTTTGTCTTAAGGTGCAATTCTGTTCCATAGAAACGTACTGCACCAGTCACAAGGGTTTGTACCTTCTCTGGAACAACATTGTACCATCTTTTCAGAGGACAGTAAATGATTCTTAGATTTAAACTGTTCAGTGTGAATCTCCAGTGAATGATTTACAGATTTTATTATCTGTAATGATCTAAGATGCTTTTAATTGAAATATCATTAATTATCAGTGTGGTTAATACAGCATTACAAGTTTTAGGAATTCAAACTAAACATTTATCAGTAAGTACATTTACTAAAGTAAATTAAAAATCAAGTATCTTTCTGCTTTGACTCAAGTAATATTTGAAAGGAGGACTTTTCACATTTTATATTAAGTCCACCACTGTCAGAAACTGGTCAATCTTTCTGAGGCATGTTTATCCATAGTGGCAATGCCTGACTGACAGTTGTCATGGTAACAGGAACAGCACTTAAGCTGGCTGCTATTTCTAGACAATAATAATCCTGGTTTTCAGATGGGAAATTCTATAATGAAACAAAACATGCAAAATGTAAAAGTATGTTGGATCAATGTAAACACACAGCGACAGGAAATTGCTCTAACTGACCCCTGATTTGGAACAAGCACGGACACACAAGGACTGGCAATTGGTAGGAAATGATAACAAGAACAAATCTTTCAGTGTTGTTTCAAAAAATGCTTAACAGATGTTTGGAGAAGCATGTGACCAATGAAATGCACACAAACAAAAGCAAACATTTATGTAACGGCACACAAATGAGAAGTATATTTACCTGCCCTCTGAGTTGTAGCTATTTGTGCTTCCGTTGTTGGATTCCCGGCTTGGCTGTCGACTCATATTCCTTTGCAATTCCACAGCCATTCCCGTCTCCTGACTGCGCTGTATAGTTCCTTGACTGCCTTTCGACTTCTTATTGGACGCTTCTGGAGGTTTCAGAAACAGTTTTTTTATTTTAATCTGTCCTACATAATTGTCTTTTTAAAGAAAGTTTTAAAGAAACAGCTTCAATGTCCTCTCTAAACAGTACTTGGTCAAAGTATCGACTACCATTCTACATTCTTTTTGATGTTGGAAGCAAAGAGCAAAATAATTTGACAAAGCTTTTAGCTCCTGATGGGATGGACACTAGCCATAGTCTGTTTACCACCCCCTCTTTATCCATCCTAAAAAAACAAGGACATGTCTCCTTATCTGGAGTCTGCTTACATAAAAATGAGAGAACTAAATGGAGTTTCCCCGCAGGTCTCAGACTCCTCTAATGTGCTTTCAAGACTTTTTTTTTTTCTAAAGGAACAAGCTCTGTCGTCTGATGGGAAGTCATATAATATCAAACAATGCAGAGTCAGTCCTGATATCTGAAAGTACTAAAATGGCCACAGGTGCCTCTTTTTGTAAATATGCTGTTCAGGTTTGATGAGGACAAACTTGGACTAAAAAAAATAGGCTTTGACTTGTAGCGGGATACTGTTCAAGGGGAAGTGAAACAGGAAAGCTGGGCTTTATGTTCATGGCACTGCATGTTTAGTGCGCTCTTGTGTTGTCAATTGAAAACACTTAAAATTTCTTCAGGTAAAAACACTTACTGTGAGAATTCTAAATGAAGTGGTAGGAGGCAGAAATGTGATGCAGTTTGATTTCACAACATTATACTTTACAGGAAAGTGTTTTAAGCTTTTTAAAATTTAATTATTATTTTTTAATAATAATTAATTCTGTAAAATATTAATAGTGTGAAACTGTTTTCTAAATCATATTAAAAATGTGTTCTTTTTGAAAAAAAAGACTTAAAAAGAACATTTAAACAGTTACAGTTACTCCTAAACAACTCATATATAAGGTTCCCCTTCGGTTGGGGAACTTTAGTGCCATAGAGTGGATTGATTGAAATCCACGAATGGGAGATTCGAATCAGAAGCTGCTTGTCTGGAGAGTATTGAACGGGCCAATGAATGAAAATGAATTGGCAGCGTAAGCTTGCGCAGGTGTGCTGCATCGCCAATTATCCCAGCATATAAGCACACCTGAAGCAAGCAAACGCCATCCTTTTCGCTTTAGATC